ATCTCATTAAATTGAGATCAGATACTCCAAAGTCATTGCGAAGACTTATTGAAGACTGCATAAAATTTAATAGGGACGAAAGGCCACTATTTCGACAAATTCACGCATCCTTGGAAGGATTTTTAAGAAACTTACCGAAAATTCATCGCTCCGCATCGGAACCTAACATGAATAGAACGCAATTGCAGTCTGATGACTGCTTTATGTACACATGTGCGAGTCCAAAGACGCCCAGTTTCGGACCATCAACTAACTTTTTGTTTTATTCCTCAGGTACGGGAAATATTTAATGCTCTTAGGAGTCGCTTTTAAGCAATTCGATCTCAAGATGTCAATATATATACGCTAAATTATATCTAGATTAAGGGATCTCCTCTTTATACTTTATTTATTCCCCAGTTTCTTATTTCTCTCTTTTAATTTATTATTTCATATGGTTGTGATTGTGTGTACGCGTGTGTGTGTGTGCTTAGCATTAGAACTTAATTGCGTACCTACCTTTAAGTTATTGTAAAATATGTACCTATATTTAAATTATTGTATATTGTTTTGTTTTCATAATAATAAAACTATGAAACATCATAATTTAATGGAAATAGCAACTCTCAATTCAGCATAATTCAGTATAATGTTATGATAACCAAATGAGCTCTAATGATTGTGGAACTGGCTATCTACAAACTTTTGTGCTGCAATAGTTTTTATTTGCCAAAGTAAAAAAAACTCAATTTAGGAATGAGCGTTTAAGCAGCTTGATAACTTTTCTCAGTTACAAAAAATGAGTTGAATTGTGTTCTCTTAAGATAATTTGCGTAATTTATTTTATTGCTCTGACAAACATGCTGAGAAAATGATTTTTCACACAAAAAAACGTGGAATTTTTTTATTAAAAAACCGATAGTGTGTTGCTCTTTTAGAAAAATGTGTCAATAGTCGTGAGGAAATGATTTTTTACTAAAGAAAATAGTATGAAAATTTTGTTAAATCAGAAACAAATACTGCGCTAGGAGTTGCTATACTTTACATTCTCTTTTCATCTAAACAAAACTTGAATACATTAACAAAAGTTATCATGGCCCTAAACTGAATATCACACTCCATGGTATATCAGAAATGAGACATTTTATAGTAATTTAAAATATAAGAACCATCAAAGAATTGCTTCAATAAAAAAATTTTGATTGGGATTCATTTCTTATGGATGGGCAAATAAAACATGGTACCAACGTTTCAACAAAAACCTATCGAAGACGACAATTACCCATCAATATAACATCCTTGTACAAGTCTAGCACAACGATTGGTTTAGCAAAATTGGCTCACTTTTTTTTTAGTAAAACATCAATTTGAGCAGTCTATCGCAACTGATTTTTTAATTAAGAACTAGTTACTCCACATCGCATCACAAGCGTAGGTCAATCTAGTAGAATGTTTAACAAAACAAAACAAAAGTTTTTTTTAAGATAAAAAATTATAAAGCTATCAACACAAAATTTAAGGAGGATAAAAGCATAACGCTAGTAACAAACGATTAATTTTGAAGTGGCTGGTAGTCTGTATGGAAAGGAAATCTTTCTCGTGCCTTTTCTAAAAGGAAATCCGAAATTGTACGCAAACCAATTATTGATTGCTTATAAACAAAAAATATAAGTAGGTACAATGGAAAACTAATATAATTGAATAAAAAACCTTATGGGTAATTTACACGTGTCAAGTAGCTAAAGCAAGTTGCTAAATCAAGAGCCGAATGCACAAAAGTTAATCAAAGCTTAACGGAGCTGTTAACTCATTTGTTTCGATAAAAAAATGACATTTGCCTTGATTAAATTACTTAATTTAACGGAACTGTTAAACCCCGATTAAGCTAGAATTCGTATGCACAAAAAAGCATTTACATTAACGGCGTGATCAAGCAGCCTCTAATCACGGCAAAATTTAACCGGTGCTCGTCGACTGATTAAACGGCAGTGTACATAATTTTCGATTTGAGCTTGTGAAAAGTAATTTTTATAGAAGAATAATTAGGCCTATTCTAATCACTTTAACATAATTTTATTTAAATAGAAAGTATATTCATCCGCTTTTCTCGCATTTTGTTTTATGATGTCATAAAAGTGCTTCAATTGCTTTACTGGTTTTTAGGTGATTGATTCGGAAATGAAATCTTCTGTGACGAACTCCCATGGGCTTGATGTTTCAGAAATGCGGAAGTATCAGAGCTCGTCACTCTGGATTCTACGTATGCTATAAATTAGAAAAAAAGGGAGTATTCGGAATTCATATGACTGTTGGCTTGCAGCATCGAGAGGTGTAAAAGTGAGAAACTTTATCAGGAAGCAGCGCTTAATTTATGATATTTTAGCTACTGTAATAAATTATTCTAGCAGTTAAAAACATATGTTGGAATAATCTGCAGTTTCAATAAAATTAAGCACTCAATGGAAGTTTAACCGGAACTTTTATTGAACGAACCAGGACAGTCGCTAAGTTACTATAATCAGAAGGTAATATTTGCTTATGATTCAATCAATTATTTGCAGTAAATGTTCTCTCTGTACTTCGGTAAAGTTTTGGCCACGGATCTTATTTCCATTGTTAACACAAACATATATAACTCTCGCCAGGAAAGATTGCCGGTCACAGCACACCTTGTGTCGATCTACAATCTATGTTTTTCTTAAGATGCGAGCAACTTCCGGAATAGGATCGTGCCAATGTTGAATGAACAGTCTTTTTGTTCAACATTGACACGATACTATCCCGGAAGTCGCTCACATCTTTAGAAAAACATAGTTTGTAGACTGGGATCAAGTATTCTGTGACCGGCAACCTTTCCTGGCGAGAGGTTTAAATTGACTATTAAATTACAAATAACAAAAAAGAAAAGCCTTATATACGATCCAAAAAGTAGGCTTTCTAAAAAAAATCACACATTTCCATAAAAGTACAACGTTGCCGGCGCCAATTTTTACCAAATACCTGTTAAATCACCTTGGTTAGTTAATCAAGGAGTCTTTTTGTTTTGTGCATACCAATCTAATTTAATCAAAGGTTTAATTTATAGTCCAGTCAAATTAGCTCTAAAAGTAGTATAAACTGGATGTAGTCATTTCACTGAACGAAATCATGAGTATTCTATGTAAAAAAATCCGCTGAATCGGAAAATCATAGTCCCCCTGGCCGGAAACGCCCGGAACATATTGTTATAAACAAAAAACGAAGAAAAAACGAGAAAATGTCGTTTTTTTTTCACATTTGACTGCCAATATCTCGTTAACTATTGCTCTGAGGGAAAAAGTGAATAGAAATGAACTTGTTTAGAATCAAATTTTCTATAAGATACAGTTGGTCCGGAACGCTCATTTTCAACTGTTATTGTGTTTTAGTGAAAAATGTAAAAACAGTAATCTCTAAAATTCACACTTTGTTATTGTTAAGTAAAATTCATTCGATCTTTTTGAAAATCCGTATTTAGTAACTACATTTGATAACAAAACAATATGACAAACTAGATCACCGTAGGTTTCATACTCATTGATTTATTAGATAAACAAGTAGAAAAAGGGATGCTTTGTCTTTCAAACTGGGGGACTACAAGAGCGTTCCCAATTTTTTTATACATAGTGGAACCCTAAAACAATCATTTCCAATAATTGTCCCGATGATTCTTGCAAATCGGCGGACTGTGCAATTTTGTTTTCAAAATCCGAAGAATTTTCTTAGTTAACAAATGGAATAACTCCCGAAATATAACTCTACAATAGGCGAATGTACAGCTCTCGGAAAGCCGTACATTAAAAAAAAATACGTCAAAATCCGATTAATAGTTCACGAGAAATCAGCTTTTGACTTTGAAGCCAGTTTTCGAAACAACCAAAAATGATTTTGCAAATCGGGTCGCACCGATCGATTCTTTACAGCGTGAACTTTTTTTATGCTTCTATTTCACCTAAAAGAATGATTTTTATTAATCTGAGTGCCAAGGGCCGATTATAGAGTTACTTTTCTTGTTAAATCTCGGAAGCTATTCGATTTGTTTGTTTAACTAAAAAAATTCCACAGTCCGTTGATTTGCAAAAATGATTTGGAAAAGATTGTTTTACGGTTCCACTATGTATAAAAAAATTGGGAACGCTCTTGTGGTCCCCCAGTTTGAAAGACAAACTTCTACTTGTTTATCTAATTAATCAATGAGTATGAAACCTACGGTGATCTGGTTTGTCATATTGTTTTGTTATCAAAAGACGTTACTAAATACAGATTTTCAAAAAGATCGGATGAATTTTACTTAATAATAACAAAGTGTTAATTTTCGAGATTACTTTTTTACATTTTTCCATAAATAACAATAACAGTTGAAAATGAGCGGTCCGGACCAACTGTATCTTATAGAAAATTTTATTCTAAACAAGTTCATTTCTATTCACTTTTTCCCTCAGAGCAATAGTTAACGAGATATTGGCAGTCAAATGTAAAAAACACGACATTTTCTCATTTTTTCTTAGTTTTTTGTTTATAACAATATGTTCCGGGCGTTTCCAGCCGGGGGGACTATGATTTTCGGATTCAGCGAATTTTTTTACATAGGATACGCTTGGTGTCGTTGAGTAAGTGACAACATCCAGCCTAAACCGTAATTTGACTGGACTATTAATCATACTGGTTAACTAACGGCCTGATTAGTTATTGTTTGTGCATTCGACCCTAAGTAACTGTGTAAACAGCTTGATTTAGTACTTGCGCAAGTACCTAATTTAGTAAACGGTTTCGGGTTTAGTCAAGTGAATAGAAACAGTTTCTATTTACTGGAGCAAGTGGCCTATCTCACCTTTGCTTTTTAGCAACTAAAACGCTGATTAAACAAGTACAAGCACAGGTTAGTAAGCTGTGGTACAAGTGTAGCTGTAGACAGGTTAGTTTTCAAGTTCATAAGTACAGACTCATATAGAGGTGTCAGATTTTGTTATAAGACGAGCGACCTTCTGCAGCAGTTCATCAAATAACATGAAAATAATTTATTTCTCAAGGGAATATAACATTTAACAAAACAAATCATTTATTTTTGACTGGCTTTCCATTTCAGCAAAATATCTGCAGCTTTTTGTAAGTTTCCATCTTCTTTGATAAAACAATACCTAACAAAATCTTCACTTAAGCTCTTATTTGGTTCGCTGTAGAAAGCAGTTGATGGAATACCCTGTAAACCAACATTTTTTGTCATCCATTTTGTAAATCTGTAATCCTTATATTTATCCTTTTCTGTGCTTAAATCTAAATTTTTTGCTAAAATAAGATTGTTAGAGCTTATTTCTAATGACTATTTGCTTACAGTACCTAGCTGCGAATAGTCTGCCATAATAAAATAGCCACCTTCAGGAATAATGGGTTTCATTCCGGTCTCTGATAGGAATTTCACCATATAATCACGTTTCGTTTCTAATTCTCTGGGTAAAGACACAAAGTAGCAATCGTCTTGACCTAACCGAGGCAATTCGTATTCAAATCCACGGGCCACAGCTTCCTGCAAAGTAAATATAATAAAAAAAGTGAAGCTTGTCATATATGTGAGAAAGTGCAGTACAATTCAACAATTTAAAATCATTGACTTGTATAGATAATGTTAGAAACAGAACCAATACTGTAACTCCGTAAATAGTAATTTTATTAAAGTGTTATAAATAGTGTAATAGCGTTGTAACCATCGACATATATATAAATGGACTGCGCTGCGGAAACTGCAGGTGAGAGAGAAGGAAAATCTATGAAGAAAAGCTCTATCTCTATTGTCACATATAACTTTTGGTTGCATTCAATCGACATCGCTGTGACAGTGCTTGTATGTCATAATTTTATGTTAAGCGATGGACGCGATTCTTGCGATATTTATTAATCGTTTATTGAATGGTTTATTTAGTTTATTATCTATTTGAACGTTTATATTTTTTTTCCTTCTGTACTTCCAGTAATCTAATATAACTTATTATAATTATTTCTGAACATAAAACACAGACACTCTAGCACATATAGAGCATAAATGGTTTTAATATTGTGTCTTTCAAAAAACCACTTGCACGAATCTCGTTTTTGTAATGAAAACATTGTACGAATAGCTCTTTTCATTCATTCATTCATTTAAAAACATGAAATTATTAAATCTGAAAAACAATTGAGCACCAGGTTATTAACATATTTATCATTTTGATGAAATAACAACATCCTGTACATTTTTACGTATTTCTTATCATTCTTTGTTTGGTATTTTTAGTTCAATTTTCACTTCATATCACGTTAGTTATAATAATATAGTTCACAATTATACTGGCTGTAGTTGGAAACCAGACCTGGATAAAATACTTTTCAAAAGTATTTAAATATTAAATACTTTCCAAACATCAAAAATATTTAAATATTAAATACTGTTTTAAGCAACATAAGAAAATATTAAATACAAATTCTTTAAAAAGTATTTATTTAAATACTTTTGAGAAGTATTTAACTTCTTTACAAAGTATTTAATAATAACCCTCGTAAAGAACCTATAAATAAAGTATTTGCGCCAAGTATTTAAAAACTTCAAATACTTCTCAGCTCCGGTTGGTACACACTATGCTTATAATATAATTATACGTGCACATACCTGAATGGGAGTTGTGCAAACATACACACAGTTTTGATGCACCATTTGTAAATTATGCATCAATTTAGCAGGACCGTAAGCCCAACCAGTTTTCCATCCAGTTACACTAAATGTTTTTCCAGCAGATCCAATTGTAATTGTCCTCTCCCACATATCCGGAAGTGTGGCTGTAGTTTTACGTTAATTTACTTGAATGTGACATTACAATCTTACCTATTCGGACATGTTTGTTTGGTTTATAAACCATCCATTCATATACTTCATCCGATATACACAGCACATTCCATTTTTTACAAAGGTTGGCGACAATTTCCAATTCATCCTTGCGAAAAACTTTACCCAAAGGATTGTTTGGCGTATTCATTATAATAGCCTTAGTTTTTGAATTAAATAGTCCTTCCAATTCCTTCGTGTCTAAGGCCCATTCTGCTGAAGAAGCTATACCAGATGTTGTAGGGGTCTGTAATTTTAAAATTCATTTGAACAAATAACAGACATTACTATATATACCATTTTTCGCAACGGTATAAACCTTGGAATTCCACGAGCAGCAAGTACCATAGGTTCATAACAATCGAAGAATGGTTCAATAATAATAACTTCGTCTCCTTGATCAACATGGCCCATTATGGTACTGAAAAGAGCTTCATATGCGCCACTAGTTACCAATATCTCATTTTGGGGATCAATCTCTCTACCTATTAGGGGCGAATATAGTTTTGATAAAGCATTGACCAATCTCATATGCCCCTAAAATTGTGAACTTTAATATCTATAACTGTCAGCATCATAGTCGTACAAAACCCCTTGTATACTGCTGAAAAAGAGGGTTATCACTACGTGCAACATCACATAATGCATCGGAGACATATTTTGGGGCTGCAAAATCTGGAAAGCCTTGCCCAATATTTAATGGTTTATATTTCATGGCCAGTTGAACATATTCCACCCTACGAAATTGTATTACATTAACCATTAACAAATCAATGAACCTTACCAAACATTCGTTTGACTTTGTGCATACGCAGCAGGCAAGGCAAATTTATCATTTCCACTCGCCATTATTGTTTTCGTAAAATTTCTGCAACTGCAAACCTGTCTATTTAGCCTGTGGTTGCTTTTACATAATTTTAACAAATTTCTAAACATTTTAATTCTTATAACGATAACGATAGTACAAAGTACAACCAGGAACTAATGAAATGAAAAGCAGTGATACTGTCACAAATGTTAGTTTTTAACTGATAAGTACCTTTCTTCAGTCCTCAGTTTTATAAAGTTCTCTTCTTGGGTTTTTCAAGTGTATTTATAAATGACGTAGTTATGGGATTTTTCACTTTATCAATCAACTCATTCTGATTTCCAGTTTCTGTACGTTAGCTTAGATTAATAAACAAAAAAGGTTAAATAAATAAAAAATAAGTAATAAACAGCTGTTCTAAAGAAAATCCGATTTACGTAGAGTGGGGGGTAGTGTATAGCTACTATATACAGAGTGTATCAATTATTTAACAATGTCAAAAAATGGAACTGTAGTTTTTACATTACAAGAAAATATGTTTGAGAACGACGGGCGTAGCTCCGTGTTCTTTAAAATTCCCAAATAATGTCAAACCTGATAATGATAAGATACCTACGTGTTTCATAACAAGTTTTATTTAAACCTAAAACTAGACAAATAAAAAGTAATCGTAAACGTTTTTCAAAAAGCACATTTCGACATTAATAGTCTTTACCCGAAAAAATTAGTTACCAGCCAAAAAATGATAGCAACCCACATTTTTATTTTTGTATTGGCTCTGCGTACGCTCAATCCATTTTCTGACATACGTTTTCAATTTTCTTTTATAAATTACCCATAGAATCTAATGAATAAAGATCCATCAATTATTTCAAGCAATTGCAGTTTATATCAGGCATGCGCTATACCATAGTATAATGCATACGTTGAATGATGTAGTTCTAGACGGTATCGCTTGTTGACACAAAATTTACCTTCACGGTGTTTTGTGCCAAAATAATAAAATAAATTTAATTATTATATTTACTTTCAGTTTTACCAAATCTATATCGTTACGCACATAAAATATTTGCTGAGTAAACTATAATTGCATGCATGAAATAATCTACTGATATTACATTACTTAGCTAACTCTTTTAAATACATAGAAATATTATATTTTACATAGCACCACGGCACCACGTTAAAAAGTAAATGACAAATTAAAATTATTAAAAACGAAATTTTGCAAAGTCGTTTTTATTTTTTACTACCATCGCTCCGTAAATATTTTGAGAGGTTCCACCCTGTATATACAACCTACGACGATACATACATTTTTGAGAGTTGGCAACCATGCAATTTCTAGGTGGGAAAAAGCTGCCTGCGCCACCTAGAAAGCACGAACGAGGGTTACGTAGGCATCTTGTCTTGAATGGCGGTCGTGAACGTTTCGCTCCATAACTGTTTGTTGTTATTTTGTGTTATTTCATGCAGGTAGTAATTTTTGCATTTCTTTATATCGTATTTGTGTTTTGTATGCCGCATTTTATATTTGTTGTGTTTGAATCTCTGTTTTTGAAATTTACTTGGTTTAACCGCAATGCAATCATATGTGTGATACCGTTATGCTATTGTTTGTAATTGTTTACATTTTTGGTGTAATGTTTGCTTAATTTATGTTTATTGATGTTGATTTACTTGGTCTTATCCCTGAAGTTACATACATATAAGTTTGGATCATTTTATTTTAATATGTGGAAGTTATACTGATTCGTTTAATGTATGTACTGACTTGTTTTTTGTTACTAACAATTTTCTCCGTGAATGAAGCAGTCACGGGAGGTGGAAAAAGAAACTGTAGTCTATAATTATGTGTTAGGACACCTAATTCCGTGCACTGTCTTCGACATCCAACTGTAGGTTCGAAACCCCGAAACCAGGGGCGGACTACCCATCTTGCAGGAGCGAGATTACGCTAATCAAAGCTCTTCAGTTTAGAATCTATGTGCGTTAAATGAGTGGCGATTCAATAATTTCCACATATTTTGTTTTTAGTCAAATTTGCCTCCAAGGCCATGTAATTTTCCATCTTGCTTTTAACAAAAGGATTTTATTGCACCAAAGATGAGTCACATCCTGTGTATTTCACCCTTTCTCAGAACCTTGGTACCTGCTATTACCTGACCCATTGTCCCCAAAAACTTGCTTTAACCTTGAGTGTAACCAACCTTGTATGTATATGCATTTACTATCTTTGTTAATATTTTGTTAATTAACTTTTGGATTGTTTTAATCAAACTGCAAGGTTTTTCTTATGTCGTACTCTTTTTATCCTTAGCAGTTACTTTTGCGAGAGCACACCTTTTGGCTTTGCTTATATTAATGTACATCAACTAAATTTCCGGGCTTTCATAATGATAATAATTACGATCATTATTAAACAAACTTTTCACAATTTCAGTGTTTTATTTAACGTTCCTTCCCTACTGTGCTTCAGGACAAAGCGTTGTCTACAACTAACGTAAGGGGGCCCTGCCTTAGATGTTTTATCTCGTGCCACTTTTCATATTTAAGCGGGATCTTGTTTAGTTTTAGAGGGAATCATCTTTCGGGTGGCCATTTTTAAACGTTGCCTGGTTGACTTTATTTCCGTGTTCTTGTAGTGTGAAGTTAGCGTAGAACCTGGGGGTTAAGTACACTACAATTTGTTGTTATATTTTTCTGTTATTTAATGGAGGTAGTTCTCTTAACATTTCTTTATAATGTATTATTTGTGTTTTGTGTGCAGCATTTTTTATTTTTTGTGAGTTTCAATCTTTCATTTTGAAGTTGACTGAATTTAACCTTAATATAGATTCATGTGTTTGATACCCTTAACCTTTAGTTTGAAATCGCGTTCATTTTTGATGTAATATTTGCTAAATTTTTGTTTATGTTTAGATTACCTGGTTTGAGCTCCAACTTAGATGTATATTTTTTATCATTCTTTTAAACATGTGGAAATTATCACATTGTTTGACTTTGATATGTGTATGTGTATACTGACTTGTTTGTAAACTAACATTTTTGCCTTGAAGATATGGTCACGGGGGGTGGCAAAAACTGTAACCAAATGAGTTACGACACTCAATACCGGAATTGATCTCGATAATCAACTGTAGGCTTGAAACCCCATATCTATTTCCGTTTGCCTGCTTTTATAAATAAATGCGCGCGAGTGTGATTTTCGTAAGAAAATTCCATGATTTATTACTTAGTGAAAGTATCCTCCTTACGTTGGACCCTCAGGAAATTTATTCGCAACTGGGGAAGCAGTTAATTCATATACCTGTATCTATTTTACACCGTGCTACATAAACTTTCTCCCTGTGCGCGACTTCTATAAAGCTATGACACAAACACAAACGTATGTAAGTCAGAAATGGTGATGTGTTTACTACCTACTCGAATGTGGTGCTCTTTGAAAAAGTAACACATGGGTGATTCTTCAGTGCAAGTTTATCTTGAAGTGCGTACTATCAAACGGTCAACAAAAAGTGATTTATTTTCAGGCATTTAGAAGACCATATCTTATTTTTTCATAAAAACAGGTATATTATCTATTAGAAAGTCACATGTTTCCAAACGCACGTGACGTAGATATATTCTTCATTTTTTAATATCCACAAATCAATAATAATGATAATGTTTATTCGTTTTCAAAAACGTTCCTCGTCTAACACTGAATATGAGGCGGATTAACAGTCTGGTTTTCGAATACGACCCGAATGGCAAAAAAATTCCCCTCCTGAAAATCGTATGCGATTATTCGTATCTTGTTTACAATTTCCTCGTATGTTGAAAAAAAATATTGAACGCTATTCTTACATCCCTATTAATATTTACGTTTTGGCCTAAAGCTTCGTTTCCAATATAGCGGGCGGAAAAGCATCTTTGAAAGTGAGCGAATTTGACAAACATTATGTAAGCATTCTACTTCTTATACCTACTGAGTCTTTTTTTGTTCCTGGTCATCTTGGTTTTCATCACGGAACCCGCGTGCGTAATAAATTTTCATTCTTTTCGGGTGCACAAAACTCTTAAGTTTTACTCAATTTTCTTCCAGATTGTGTCTCACGGTTATTCTGATCACATGGCGATACTATGCGAGGCGCAGATTCCTCACGATAACGCTGAAAAGAAACACCACGAAACGGTACTCAAGAGGAAATTTAATGACGTTGGTTTCTCTGAATTTTTAAAACTTTACGCGCTGAATAAGGATGCAAATCTTACTCACATTCCCAATACAACAGCTCTATCTTTCAATAAATTCTGGGAACACTTCATCTGGTGTTTTAATGCCGCGTTCCCCAAAACCACAGCAATAAGAGGAAACTGTGCGAACCCGCGTACCGATACAGTAAACTTTGGGCCTAGACTAAAAGAGCAGTTGCGTCGGGTCAAATTGCTCAATCATCTTAGGAAAAACACCGAAGGCAGCACACTTGAACATCTATACAAAATTGAAAGAAAAAAACTGAAAATTGAAATTAGAAACACGAAGGTACTCCACTTTTCCACGAAGGTAGAACGATCAACCAATAAACCAAAAACATTGTGGTCGCTCGTAAATTCAGTAGTAAATAGAACTCGAACCATGACCAAGATTGGACCAATAATCTACGAAGGGCAGCCCATTACTCAGAACAACCAACTATGTCGAACGTTCGCAAAATTTTTTGAAAACATCATTCCAACCACACTAAGAAATCACTTTGGTCGAAACGTATCCCAAGCTTGCACAACATCGAGCGAGGTACCAAACAGCATGTACTTCACACCTGTCACAGCAACAGAGGTCAGCTGCCTCATAAAAGGTTTACAAACCAACAAAGCGACCGGCCACGACGATGTATCCGCAAGATTTGTCAAGCAATGCAACAGCATCCTTGCACAAGACCTAGCAGAATCCTTTAATAACTCACTTACAGACTGGCACCTTCCCAGAAATCCTGAAGGTTGCGATCATTATTCCGGTTCCTAAAAAAGGTGACACAACGGATATCAAAAACTATAGACCGATAGCGCTACTGACCATATTTTCAAAAATATTTGAAAAACTACTAGCAAGGCAGCTATCATCATACCTAAACAAATACAATATAATAACAACATCCCAACACGGCTTCAGGCAGAACCGTTCGGCAGAAACAGCAGCTACGAGCATGATTGATTGCATCATGGGCCACCTCAATGACGGCAAGACTGTTTTTGGAGTATTCTTTGATCTTTCGCGCGCCTTCGACACAATTGACATCTCCTTTCTAAGGAAAAAAATTGAGAAGATGGGGATCCGAGGTCACGCCGCAGAATACATATCATCGTATCTCAAAAACCGGAGTTACATTTTAAAATGTGGCGACCAACACTCTGAAATATTTACAACGAACAGAGGGACCCCTCAAGGAGG